GCCATAAGGGCTGTATGATGAACTGTTCTCTCTTTGCAAAGATATGAATAAATGTGCCTACTGAGTGAAATCCATCGATCTCCGTTTATTTAACGAGCTTGAATAATTGAATGCTTTTTTCCCACAACAATCCATAGCCACTTGTCCTATTGTCCTTATTTTATCCATAGCCAGCAGGTAAAAGGCTGGAAACATTATTCCTGGAAAGATCACCAGTCCATCACAGGACAACACATACAGTAAGCACACAGAACAAACAACTATCCACAAATTAACATCTCCAAAAGAGGAATATAGAAAGGCCAATCAGGTTAACACTCCTGTTTCTGGACTGTGGAAGGAAGCTAGAAAGAAGTGACACATGCATAGACATAGAACATACAGAAACTCTATAGAAAGACTTCAGTTCATTTGTTGTTCATTTTTAGGATAGCCCCGATTTCCTTAGTTTTGGGTAATCTCTAATTTGCTCTTACTTAAAGTAGATTTAAAGTCAAAGTAATCCACCAATCTTTTCTTAATTACCTTTGCAAAAGTCAGAAAAATCAGCCACTGTCACTCCTCTAAACCTTTAATTTCTATACCTCAGCATTACATCATGCACAGTTAAAATAAGTTCCTGTTTCAGGAAGGTTTTCTATCACCAATCACCTTAGAAAAATGTCAAACAATCAGAGCATCACTAATAGGATTAAAAGTTATGTAAGACCAATAAAAACTATTTTAGTGCAGAAAATTTGGATTGATTTAATTTATGTGTGATACCTGCTTGAAGGTTATTTCATACAAGGTAAACCTTGCAAACAAGCCTCATCAGAACAGAACTTATTTATTGAATAGGATTATAAAAACTGCACTCAAGGTTTATGGTAAAAAGCAATAACCTCCATGCATTTACAAATTAGATTAAAAAATACCATGATATTGGATTATTTTATGATTCATTAAATAAAGGTTCCAATTAATTGGAAGATTTAATTAAACAATTTAATTGATTATATCCTTGAAGTGCTTATATTATGACTGGCTCATAAAGAGAACAAACTAGATGTTGATAAATTACAGGATCAAATTAAGGGGAAACAAAAAAAAAATCTAATGGAATACAGATGAGGACCATAAAATAAGGAAATAAATATATTAATTAATGATGAAGAGATTAGCCCAGGGCAGTTTCCACATAAAAAGTGTTTGTGTTCCTCCTTGTTTAATTGACTGAGCAAATTATGAGCTGCAGATGTTATTTGGGTTTTTTTGGTTTGTTTTTGGTGCAGCTTATTGGTCCAGGGATTAGTTTTATGAAGCTAATTGAATTTCATTAACAACTGCTTAACTCTAGAATGTTGCTTAAATTTGGGCCCGCCGGCTCCTTCCACCACAGCATGTAGAGAAAACATCTAATCTATTAGTACCTCATATTCCCTAATGTGATGTAAAACACAGGAATACATCTATAACCTGCTTTTATTAAAAAAGTTAAATGAAAAAAAGTAAAATCTCTAGAAAAATGTGACCTTGGTTGAAAAAAAAACTGACCTTAAAGAAATAAAGATTCATATGCTGTCAAACATTGGAAAGTGGTTATAATAACAAGCTTGTAATGACTGTAAAGTGTGTCTAATTTTAACTGGCTTCTAGGTAAAAAGGGACCTTTTTGTGAAACAAATGGGCAACCAGGCCTGGTTTCTATATTCAGGGCGGAGAAGTTAAACGTGTACAAAGACTTGTGTTGTGAATGAATGTGTGGCCTTACAGCCAAAGCACTCAGGCCTGGGTGTGCACTGTCATGGTCTTAAACACAGAGTGTTTGTTTGTGTTTGCTCCGGAGGTTTGCTGTTAAGTTCGGTTTAGAGCCCTGAGGGTGTGTCAAAGTTAGAAAGATGTTCCTTAAATTCTTCAAGAGAGCGTGTGCAAAACAAACAGAGCAAACATTATACAGATAATAAGGTTATGAAACCTTTTTAAATTTCAAACATCTTCAGGCTAAAACCATAGTTTCTCTTAGATTCCTGTCCCTTCAAACTTTTGTCAGCAAAATCAAACAGACAGAATGAAAGAAACTAAAATATTAGCATAAAGTCTTATGATTTAAGTTTAAATTGCTCCACCTGGATTCCTACAGCCTTTTTTTATTTAAATCTCATAAATATTAATACTTTGTAGATTTACAATGAATGTGCATAACTCCAGCTTTGAAAGGTAGAAGCACAATGACTTTTCTGTTTTGTTTTTATAGTAACCTAATCCGACTGGGAGAACTTGGAGAAGAAATCTAGCTCAAAAATCATTTTTAATCCCAAATAGAAGCTGAATAAATGTATATGAAGCTTCCAGGGAAGGAAGAAAAAAAAAGAGAAAAAGACTGCAGAGAAGGTTCCTGAAAGGCTGATGGAGGTCGGTGTGATGAAAGCAGAGGTTAGAGACAGGAAGAGATGGAGGCAGACAGTTTGCTGTTAGCAGGCCTGATGGGAAAACCCAAAGAAGATGGATTAGATTCAGAGAGTGACCTTTAAGTGTGGAAAAAAAAAAAAAAGCTTTGGGGAACTCATTATAGCACAAAATGAAAAATACCTTCAGCTCCTTTCAGACTTATATTCAGTAGATTAATAAGATGGTAATGAATATAACAAAGTAGTAATAGTAATAACTGACTCAGCGAATTCACATGTGGCACAGTTTTTGGCACTGCTACTTGGTACTAGTCCTGCATAAAAACTTTGAGCAGGTCGGATCACCAGAGAGAGCTTTGGCCATTTTTGTTTTTTTGTTGTTTATTACACACTATATCATCCAGACCTTCTACTACTTGTACTCTCTTTTGCACAACTTACTCCACTCGTTATTCGTAGGACTCTCGAAACAGAGAGGACCCCAAATTAATTGTGATTTTTTTGTTTATCCGGTGAACCAATTAGGTGTTGCATTGGGAATATTTTATAGATTATAACCCAACTGATGAATGATAAAAATCTGAGGTAAAATAAAGATCAAACAAATTACTCGGTAAATCATCTTTAAAAGCAATGAAAGAACTGGATGCTGGAGATCGGCCTGTTTTCCAGTGTGGTCCTGTTTCTCTGACCGTGACTGGGTGGATGTGCTCTCTTTGTCCTCTGGCATGGGAACTGGCTTGGAGCTTGTCTGCCTGGCTGTGGGTTTCCTGGACGGGGCTGCCTTTTACAGCTGCTTTCTGTATCTCTGCTTCTGTCTCCTTGAACCCCAATCGGCCTCAGCAGATGAGCCTGGTTCTGCTGGAGGTTCCTTCCTGTTAAAAGGGAGTTTTTCCTCTCCACTGTCGCTACAAGCATGCTTAGTGTGAGTGATTGCTGAAGAGTCATTGAGTTAATGCAATCAACTGGTTTTCCTTAGATAGAAAACTTTGTATCAATTTGACTGGATGATCTGGTTGAACTGTAAAGTGCCTTGAGATGACGTGTGTTGTGAATTTGGCGCTATAGAAATAAACTGAATTGAAATTGAATTGAAACTGAGAGGATCATTGAGCAGTCATCTAGTCAATGTATTGAAAACGACTGAGTGTATTAAAGTATTCATGATGCCATGTACTTTAACAAGGTTTCCAGGAACTTTATCATTTTCACAAAGCGATCAATATTACCTCCTTCTGACATCTGATGATGGTAAGCTATATTGTAGCCACAGCTGCCCTGGGGCATTTTTAATGCAACATTTTTGGCATAAAAGTTCTAGAAATAAAGGATACATTTAACAAAACACCTTGATTTTCCACTTAATTTTATGCCTTTTTTCTACTCTTTTATATTGGAGCTATCATATTGCTTGGGTGCATTACTTAAATTCCTGACATAATGATCAATTCTTAAATAAACTACACATTGAAGCATATTTCTGTGTATAAATAAGGTTTACAAGGTTTGTTTGTTTAGTAAAGAGCAACATTTCTGGTTTATGTAAAAAGCTTATAACTGCAATATTGACATACAGTATAACTTTTAAGAGATGCAGAGGTGAAGAGCTGCAGATTTATCTGAAATCAAAATACGTGTTATTTAGTCATCTTCATTTTCCTCCTGTACCTTTAGCCAAGGTGGGTATGTTTTAGGAGAGTTTGTATGCCTTTGTCTGTCCGTCTGTGTAAAGGATAATTTGAAAGGTTATGAACATATTTTAATTAAAAACTTTTACCCAAGGTGTACTTAGTCCAAGAAACAATCCATTACACTTTGGTGATGATCCGGACAACTATTAGGATTGTGGACATTTTTCTGTTAATACAGGTATTAACTAAGTCACAAAATTTAGGGAGAAATCAGCCACTTGATGGAAGTCTACACTCTCAAACTGCTTTTCTGCTTTAAATATAAAAAAGAAAAGAAAAATTATGTTTATGTGGCATAAGCCAAAAATAGTTATAAATTACTTATTTTAAGACAAGGTCTCGTGTTGTGCTCTGAGGATGTGGTGTGTTATTTTTTCCTACTGACATCACCATGAGAAAAAAAAGCTCATATGGGTTTAGCTACAGTTTTAAGGAGCAGTCAGTTTGAGTCTTTAATCAAAACTGGATTTTCTACTAATTTGAGTGGAAGCAGCTTAACACACAGGTGAATAACTAAAGATTTGGCATTTTTTCCTTCTTTTATGTGGTTCATTGTCACTCTGGTGTTACATCTGAGGAGGGTCAGTGGGAGGAGATATGCAGATGATGCCAGAGGGACCCTATTAGTGACGTCTGAAGTCCTTCAGACCCACAGTGGACTGTTGTCATACGAACAGAGTCCACCTCAAACAGGATCTGGTTCAGCAGTGCTTTCTTCTTTTTTAAAGCTGCCAATATTACCGTTGCTTATTTTTTCTTACTTTGTATATGTTGACAGATTTAAGACATTTGAAAATCTTTTTTGTTCTTGGAGTAGAAAATCTTTTATTTTTAATAGATCTTCTTGGAGGAATAGTCCTTGTCTTGTTTATACCGACTACACTTCCTTTTTTCTAGGCTGATTTACATTTTGTCAATGATGCATTTCGCTGTTTTGATCGGTTTGTTTTTGCCACTGGCCGAAGCCAAGTACCACAATTCATTTCCGGTTCATCAAGAGCTCGGTACGTACCAGGAGCAGATGAAACCCACCAGCAAACACAGGTAAGTTCAGATCCAGCATTACGATATAAACTACAGCACATTTCAGGAAAAGCTGTTAGACCTTTAAAGTAGAGTTTCTAATTTCTTTCTTTTCTCATGTTTTATGTCTCCCCTTAAAAAGCAACCACTGCGCCTATGTAGTTGAGAAGTTGGTGTCTTTTACCGTCCAGGATGGGGCAGCGCCATATGTAAAGGCTGAATACAACAAGTGCTCCTGGGCCAAAAAATGTCCAACTCTCTTGTAAGTGAAGACAACAGCTTATATAACATATGAATCATCAGAGCTTTGATAAGTGACTCATGACTGATTGTGTTTTATAGGTATCGCCTGCTCTATAAGCCGATGTACAAAGTAGCACATAAAACAGTGACAGAACTGGAATGGCGCTGTTGTCCTGGATTCTCTGGTTATAACTGCATGGAAGTGCAACAGATTTACCAACATCCAATGAAAATGATGCCACCATTCAATGGTCAACAAACAAAAGGTCCACAGTTTAGGGGGCCACAACACCAAGGGCCCATGTTTAAAGGTCCGATGTTCAATGGGCCACCTCTTAATCCTGCTGTTAAACCCAAACCCTGGAATCAACCAAAGCAACCTTCAATCAACAGTTTTAGCCCCTACCCATTGCCTCACTTTGGTTCATCAAAGTCCTCCTTTTATCCTGACACCTCCTTCGAGCCTTATCCAGCAGAAACTCAGCCAGACCCAGAATACCAGGAGGAACATCGTACGGACAATGACCAAGAACACGAGGAGGAATATAGCCAAAGACCAGAGGATGTTACACCAGGGGAAGTCCCAGCACCAGCACCGCCACCATCTGGAGAAGAACATCCAGAGGAGAAGATTACAGGTAACTCTCATAGATGACTAAGCAGGTGTACTCATACATTAAAGCTGAAATCTTTTTTTTTTCTGCTTTTCAGGCCAAGCTCTGGACAGTGAGACAGAGGAAAGGATTTTTCGAATAGAGGAAGACATTCGCCATGTGAGCCATGGCCTGGAGACGCTCCGGGGAACAGTGTCGGGACTAGAAGCCTCTCTGAGAGCCTCTCTGAGAGAAGATGCCAACAGGATGCTGTCAGCTTTGCTCTCTGCTGCTCCAAGTCCTCTTGTTGCTCCAGCTACAGCATCTAATCCACCCACTATAGGGTTTGTGGAAATTCCTGCAAGAGATCCTGAAATTGAGGGTTCAGATGACAGCCACGTCTTTACAGCACTGAGTGAAAAGGTAGAAGAGTTGAAGAGAGAGCTGCAGGTCAAAGCAGCAGAGCTGCAGGAGCTCACAGCAACAGTGCAGGGACATGATGGAGTCCTGAAGATTATTTCAAATGGAGCCGAACTGCCAACAAACATCACTGGCAATTCCAGGGGAGATGCTGAGAGTTTGATGGATGCTAAACTACAGGAAGTCAAGGTGGAAATTCTTGATGGGTTTAAGAAACGTGTGGAAAGTGCAGAGGAACGCTGCAAGGAGAAAGTTGGTGATGAGCGCCGTCAGTGCCAGAGGAATCCCCGTAAACAGCAAGAGCAGACGAGAGACGCTTTGGAGGAAAGTACCTCAAAGCTAAGAACTGAGATGGGGATTATCCAGTCACAGATCCATAGCTTTTCAGGCACAGAGGGCTGCTGCAGTAGCATTAGTGGACTGGCAGAAAGGGTTCAGCATCTGGAAACATCTGTGGCAAGTCTAAACCAGTCTCAGGGGCTCCTGAGAGTGGACCTTAGTGGTCACAGAGACCACATAGAGGGAATGCTGGAGGGCCGTCTTGGATATGTTGAAGCCAAGCTCAACCTAACTGGGCAGATTAAAAATGATGGTCCTGAAATGAAGATAGCTGGTTCCTATGATGGTGTAACGGGCATGGATCTGGAGTCAAGAATGGAGGGTAAGCTTAGAGACCTAGAGGGGCGCTTACTGACAGCTTTGGAGGAGCTTAGTAACGCCACTGCCCCTGCACTGCTGGAAGGCCATGCTGTTCCAACCCTGGAGACGGAGCTGGAGTCCCTACGAGGGAGACTCGAACTAGATGTGGACAGAGTACAAAAACATCTCAACGACCTGGAGCTTCTCTGCTCCACTTCTTGTTCCTCGTCAAAGACGTCTGCCACTCAGGGAGACTCTGCTGAGCCAAGTGAAAACCAAAAACTCCAGCAGAACGTAAAGCAGGTATTAGACCTACAGGATGACCGTTTGACCAGTCTGAACTTTACACTGCAGAAGATCTTAGAGAACATGGCCCTCATGGAGAGGCAGATAGAAGCAGAAAGTGTTCCTCCCTTTCAGGCAGAGTTAACAGTACTTAAGTTCAATGTTCGTTCTGTCAATCACACCCTAATGAGTCTCCAAGACTCCCTGGGCACAGTGGTCCATCAGGTGGGAGAAGCCAACAGCTCCTGGCATGAAAGGGAGGTTCGCCTAGCCAAGCAAATGAAGGGAGTGGTCCAGCTGGTGGGACATCAGGCTTCAATGCTTGGAGCCAGCGAGCGCAGACTGACCAGACTTAAAGGTGAGCTGCTGGAGATGAAGAGGCGCCTTGCTGAGGAGGTCAGAGGATGCCAGAGCACAGCCATGGTGGTCAAACAGGAGGTAACAGAGGTTGGAGGCCTTGTTGCCAGTGTGGAGGATCAATGTAAAGGCCTAAATGACCTCGCAGATGACCTGGAGAGAATAAGGGAGGAGCTGGAGAAACAGTCCAACACTCTTCTTCTGCAAGTTAATGGGACTCTCTCCAGCCATGCTCAGCAGCTGTATGAGCTTAAAGACGAGCTAAGAAACTGCACCTCAAGGGCAGAGCCGACGAAGAGTCTGGAGATGGCTACACCGGCGAAACGAGGGGACACTTTCACTCAGAAATAGGCCAGTTTGTAGGGAGAGCTGATTTTTAAGTGGTAAATATGTTTTTCAGCTGAAACCTTTAAACCTGCACTGAAATCGAAGGGTTTTGCCATATTATGACAAACAGCATAAAGACAGAAGGCAGCTAACTGTGATGTGATGGAAATGATAAAATATTGAGATTGATTCATTAAGTTGCTATGACAAATTATTTTTTTGTAAACAATTATTTAGTGTGACTGAATGAAGAATGAAATGTGAATTTTGTTGAGTGTAAGGCTAACCATGTTTCTATGTTTTTATACTGTATTTTCTGATGCCTAGGAAATGAATATGCAAGATTTTATTGTTTTTATTGTGTAAATGTTCTTTTCTCAGTCATGTGTGGTTTAATTTCAATGGTCATTACTTTTCTCCAATAAAAAAAGTCTCTGGAGGATTTCTGTTCCTTTAAATCATGTCTCATACTGTAGATTAAATAAACTCTAATACAGTCACGGTAAAACAAACATGCACTTTCTCTTAAGTTATCGAACATCTAATGTATCATCGTTATCCACCTCCGAGTGTAGAAAAAACATATCCTAAATCCCACCAGTGAGGGACTGCCTGGTAGATCTAATTCTTATCAGAAAAATAGCCCAAGCTGTATTACTCTGAGGAACATAGATTCTCATTTCATACATTTAACAGCGTGGCACTTTGCCTCCGGGTCAAGCATCTCTGTTTTGTTTTATTATGTTCAATAGACAGTCCTGGGGCTTATTCTGGTGTAAATTTGTAAAAGTACTTGATGCTGCATCATTCTTTCTAGAAATAGCTTTTTCAAACAGGCCCTGATTATTCAGGATTCCTGTAATTGTTTAGCCATCTAACATACTAGCTATACCCCACAGAGTCTGAGATAGAGCACTTGGGTTGTGAGCAGTTTATTTGAACAATGCACACTTTAACCTCGGGCTGAAACGGGAAATACAATCTATACAATATTCAAATCTGCACTAAATAGCTTCCACAGAAGAATGAGCTTCTCACTGGAAAAATGAGGCTTTGCGTCTTTTATCCTGTCTTAGATTGCAGGATAGAAACCGTTGCTCCTCTGAAGACATTTCAGGTTCTATCTTGCTTTATTTTGTGTTAGCAGCCACCTTTATGAACCAATCTAGAATAATAACAAGTCTTTGGCTGGTATTGAGGCAATCTTTCAACAATCAGACATGTTCTTTATCTGGAAACACCTGGCAGCTTCATCCCCACCTAATTCCTAAGGAAAAAGAAAGGACACAGTTTTTCCACAAGTAGCCGTATTCAGTTTGTGGCTTTATATTTTATTTTATTTCATTTTGCACAGAATAGAATAGAATAGAATAGAATAGAACAAAATAGAATAGAATATGTTAGAGGTTCTCCAAAGGCGGTACTTGTAATAATACTAAGACCAAAAATCTTAAAGGTTTCATAATAGATTTTACAGCAAAGAAATTAAACTTCTCAGAATAGAAAAAAAATGAATGAATTTAAAGAACATGGCATGCCGAGATCAGGTTAAAAAAAGTTTAAGGTAAGAAAAAGTCAGACAGTTTACAGATACAATTTAAAAATAAATAATGACAGCATGAATAAAATAGTCCCAGAGCAGGTGCAATCTGACAATTTCAATTGCTAAATGAGGAAAACCTAAAATCAGACATGTTTATCTGTGTATCTGATGCTGGCATATTAAATTAATTAGAATATAATTTTAATGAGGCTAAAAATTATTTTTGGAAAATAGCCCTTGAGCAGGTTGCAGACGCTCTTCATGAAGCCAAAATTTCTGTATCAAAATATAGTTTTTGTTTGTCTGATGGTATATTAAAATAATAAATGTTGTTTTTTTTTTCATTCCTCGTAAGCATATTATAATAATATTTCACAGAAGCAAAAGGGTTTTAAGAAAGGACTCAGTGCAGGAAGCGGGAAACAAAAGGATCTAAGGAACTAAGTTAACATGTTTGTTGGATAATGTCTCCCACTCCATGCATAAAGCTGTTGCAAAACTGGAGAGCTCCTTCAGTGACAGACTGCTGCACCCTAAATGCACCAGGGAGCGTTATCACAGATCCTTCTTCCCAGCAGCTGTAAGACTCTATAAACACCACAATAAGTTATTGCATTCATGCTTATTTTGCACATTTTTTACTTTAGTCAGTTAAATAACATGCTGTTGTCATTCTGCACATCTCTGATGATGCTGCTGTTTTCAAATATCCATTACTGTAAAAATGTCCATAGCTGTTTATTGGTTATTTATTCTCCAGGTGGACAGTTTTTATATTGTTTAAACACAGTACAGCATTTTATTGTTTATCTTTTAATTCTTCACCATTATGTTATCCGTATACATTTTTCTAAGGTCCACATTTGCGTGACCATTTTTTTTCTTTAACCTTTTTGCTGTAAACACCAGAATTACCCCGATTGTGGGACAATAAAGGGGTTTTCTATATTATTCTATTCTATTCTATTCTATTCTATTAAAACATTGGTTTGTGTGTAGTTGTTTTTTCCACTTACTGAACTGAGTTACAGAAATAAATGGAAAGTTCTATATGTTGATTTTTTCATTTAATCATGTTAAACACAAAAGCTTAAAAGTGCAAAAGGTTTTTTTTTTTTTTTTTGCTGCGCTATGCCTCTACAGTATGTTGGTGACACGTACAGTCCTCTGGCATTAGTGTCACTTCAGTTTTGATACTGAAACGTTGAGGAACCACTAGAGGGCAGTAGAGACGTATCAGAATGGTTGGCTGCAGTGGAGTTAAGATGTATAGTGAAATTAATCCTCTGCCTTCCAAGAATTAAGTGGACAGGGACACAGCTTGCTTGCCAAAAGAATACCAGAAATTTGCATTATTGCAAAGGTGATGAAGAGAGAAAAAACATCAGGAGCCAGTATCTCAATTCTATCTTCAGTTTAAAAAACCTACAATTGAACACTGCCGTAATGATAAAACATAACCTTCCAAATAACCCTGTCCTGTTAGCTTGTGCTCTGCAATCAGGTGTTAAAATGACAGCTTTGTGGGAAATTAGTCTGCTGCTGCGTGAAAACATTTGAGCCCAAGACATGGGCTGAATATTAACTGAGGAAAGGTAATGACAGAGAGTGAAAAGGGAAGGAATAGGAACGACATACGACACACACCTCAGTTATGATGCCCCTTCACAGAAAGATGGGGAGGAAAAGAAATGTAACCAACAGTGTCCAACTGTCCTCTGTTAACACTTCACCTGCCAGGTAAGTCTCACCTTGTTGTAAAAGAGGAGCCAAGATATCTGTCTAATTAGTTAAGTTCCCTTCTTTGTATTCCCCAAATGTCTCCATTACTGTCACACTACAACCAGACCAGACAACACCCCCATTAATCTTAATTTCAAACAAGATACTAGGACAGAAAGGGCAGACACGGCTCTAGTGAATTTGTCTCCTCACGCTCTCCTAAACGCTCCCTCATAGATGATCTACGCTTCCTGCACGACATGCAGAGCATCACTGACCACAACCTCCACCAAATAAAAGCACTGCTGGCAGAAAGGAGAAGGATATTGGAGTAAACACTGGACGGCACCTTTCGAAAATGTGAGCAGCGTCCTCTGCAGAAGCTTAAGGTTAAAGTACTGTGGAGCTTTTTGTCCTTATTACAGTGATGGCCAGAGAACAGACAGAGTTGATTACAGTTGGCTCACAAACAAGGAAGCCCCTGAGAGAATTACGTTAAATCAAGGACTCTGGGCTTCTCTGAGATTTGACTTTTTTTTTTCAAGGAGCTGTTATGTATAAAGCTGAGATAAGGCATTTATCCTTCACTGAAGGAGAACATAACATTCAGAGTTAAAAACCAAAACAAAAAAACATTTCGAGTTTTAGAAGATAATCCTGCAAAACCAATTAATAGATACATTTCGAGAAGTCTTTCTATAAAAAAGGAAAGAAGAAGGAAATTGACTTGGGAGATAAAACGTATTAGATTGTATCATCTTAATAAAATTGTAACAATATAAACAAGATAAGAATATTTCCGTTAATAACAGCTTTACTTTGCTTCTGTCTTTCTTCCAGGGCTATAAGCAAAGTCCTAAAGGTTTTTATTTATTTATTTATCAAGCAATACGCCCACTTCTTTGAGGATAATAAGACCTTCTAATAAACACAAACTATGACTCAGCTCACAAAACTGGCTGCTTAGACATTCAATTTGAAGAAAGCCGGATGATTCATTTTCTATAATCACAGTTAGCATTAGATGTTCGGATAGACGAGAGAGACAGAAACTATTTCTTTGACATCTTCATACTTGCACTGGGTTGAAGAAAAAATAAGTAGACTGAATGAGCTACCTAAAGCCAGTTATTCTGATGCCATCAACACAGAGAAAATGTTGCAATGCACTTTGAAACCATCTTGCACAAACACACAGTAACACTGAAATACCGTCAGATATTGAAAGTTAAAACTGTCTTAGAAAAAAAAAAGCAATGACTCACTGCTCAAGCAAAGTAATTCCAGGTGATGTATTTATAAATCTGGTTTAAAGGGCAAATATCAGAACAGACTTACAGAGGGGAAACATTAGCTTTGGATGCACGTCGCTTTAACAACTTACATTTCCTGTACAGTGAACTCTTGATCACCAGTCGTTTACCAGTATCCTCTTCTACTTCCCTCTGTTCCTGTGCTCTCCCAGAGGAACTTTTTCAGACCCGGTTATCCCCATTATTATTTGTTGTTTAACACATTTATTGAACTGCTTCGCTGGTCTTCTGGGAAGCATCTCTCATGTGGGTTAATTATAAAACCAACTATGACAGATAGAGCTATTTGAGGAAAAGAAAGGGCGTCAATCCTGGTCAGAACTGGAGCAGAAACATCCTGACATTTTATTTGAATAATCATTTTTGTCTTGGGCTGGTTGAGTTATAGAGCAGAGTTATTTTAGGTGTCATGCCATCTTACTGGATCAACACAGCTGTGACAAATGTAAAAAAAATAAATAAAATAAAAAACTAATATCCATGTTAAGAGATACAGGTGCTGGTCATAAAATTAGAATATCATGAAAAAGTAGATTGATTTCAGTAATTCCACTTAAAAAGTGAAACTTGTATATTATATTCATACATTACATACAAACTCATATATTTCAGATGTTTATTTTGTTTAATTTTGATGATTACAAATGACAACAAATGAAAATCTCAAATTCATCATATCAGAAAATTAGAATATTGTGAAAAGGTTCAAAATTGATGGCCCCTGGTGCCACACTCTAATCAGCTAATTAACTCAAACCACCTGCAAAAGCCTTTAAATGGTCTTTCAGTCTAGTTCTATAGGCTACACAATCATGGGGAAGACTGCTGACTTGACAGTTGTCCAAAAGACGACCATCGACACCTTGCACAAGGAGGGCAAGA